ATATGATCTCCATGTATAATACATAAGGGGGGGGGGGGATATGATCTCCATGTATAATACATAAGGGGGATATGATCTCCATGTATAATACATAAGGGGGGATATGATCTCCATGTATAATACATAAGGGGGGATATGATCTCCATGTATAATACATAAGGGGGGATATGATCTCCATGTATAATACATAAGGGGGATATGATCACCATGTATAATACATAAGGGGGGATATGATCTCCATGTATAATACATAAGGGGGGGATATGATCACCATGTATAATACATAAGGGAGGATATGATCTCCATGTATAATACATAAGGGGGGATATGATCACCATGTATAATACATAAGGGGGGATATGATCTCCATGTATAATACATAAGGGGGGGAATGTGATCTCCATGTATAATACATAAGGGGGATGTGATCTCCATGTATAATACATAAGGGGATGTGATCTCCATGTATAATACATGAGGGGGGATGTGATCTCCATGTATAATACATAAGGGGGGATATGATCTCCATGTATAATACATAAGGGGGGATATGATCTCCATGTATAATACATAAGGGGGGATATGATCACCATGTATAATACATAAGGGGGATATGATCTCCATGTATAATACATAAGGGGGGATATGATCTCCATGTATAATACATAAGGGGGATATGATCTCCATGTATAATACATAAGGGGGGATATGATCTCCATGTATAATACATAAGGGGGGATGTGATCTCCATGTATAATACATAAGGGGGGATATGATCTCCATGTGTAATATGATCGGCCTCCTGGATCCGTATCCCTCTTCCTGGATGACTTTGCCGCCTGGCTTCCCTTCTTCCTCTCCTCCGAGCTACCGACCATCATCCTCGGGGATTTCAACATCCCCATCAACGTTAACAGCCCAGCTACTTCCCAACTCCTCCTTCTAACCTCCTCTTTCGCGCTCACACAGCACACACAGTCCTCCACTCACACCGATGGGAACACCGTGGACCTCGTTTTCTCCCACCTCTGCACCCCCCACAACTTCACTAACACCCCCTTTCCCCCTCTCTGACCACCACCTTCTCACGTTTTCCATCTCCCCCTCCTCTAACCCCTCCCCCCCAAAGCGTCAAACCATCACCAGCCGTAACCTCCGCAATCTGAACCCGACCCATCTCCACCTGGCAGCTGACCGTCTGTATGACAGTATCCTCCCTCTGTCATGCCCTGACCTGGCCACTACTGTGTACAACGAGTCACTGTCAGCTGCCCTAGACTCCCTGGCACCCCTAACCATGCGTAACATCAGGTCTCTAAGGTCTTCACTGAAGCCCGATATAACATTTATAGGTAAAGTTGATCCAGGGAATATCCGATTGCCTCTCGGGGGATCAGGAAGGAATTGTTTTCCCCAGCAGGTGCAAATTGGATCGTGCTTGCTGGGGTTTTTTGCTCAACTTTGGGGGTAGGATTATAATTTTTTTTTTTTTTTTAATGGTTGAACTAGATAGACTTTTGTCTTTTTTTCATCCAGACTGTTTTACTTATTGATCATTTTATTTATTGATAATCCCTATCCTGATATTGATTGGTGGTCCCAAAGTTACAATAACTACTCCAGCAGACAAAACACACTCAGCATCTCTCCAAATAACTTTTCTGTTTATTCAGCACATTTGAGGTTTTTTTTTTCATTAATATAAACTTTTTTTTTCATTTATATAAACATTGTTTTTCATTTATATAAACTTATTTTCATTTATATAAACATTTTTTTTTATATAAACATTTTTTTCACTTATATAAAGTTTTTTTATTTATATAAACATTTTTTTTCATTTATATAAACATTTTTTTTTATTTATATAAACTTTTTTTTTTATTTATATAAACTATTTTTTTATTTTTATAAAAAAAAAATTTCATTTATATTAACATTTTTTTTTTCATTTATATAAACATTTTTTTTTAGTTATATAAACATTTTTAAATTAGGTATCACATTAATATTCCAATTGTTCTTTTGAGGAAACAAGGGGGGAGTAGCTGAAGCAGTTCAGTGATGGGCCAGTTTCCTAGCAGGGGTCTTCTGAAGGGGAGTACGATGCCGGGGACGTCGGTTGCTTTTTCAACTCAAAAGACTTCAAAAGCCCATAATAAAAAATTTTCTTTTTGGGTTTACAAAGTCCTGATCCATGAATGGAATGTTCTTACATCAGCCAGGAAAAGAGTTCATTTCAGAGGGGCACCACTGAGTCCGGCCAGCAGCAGAGGTGCAACCATCAGCAGTCCTCTTCCTTCCTTATGCAGGCCATAGACGGGTCAAAAAAACTGACGTTTTTTAGAAAAAAAACCCGAAAAATCGGTCGTTCAATCGGCCAACGTTACTACCAAGGTAAAAAAAATCGTCCAATTTTCATCCCGTCTACGGGCGGCATTTTTACTTCTGTCCCTTGCAGAGAGCACTGCTATTATATTTTACATAAAAGTCTTGCGGTTGCAACAATGTATCCATTTGGGATACAGATAGTTTTATTTGGATACAAATGGATACATTGTTGCAACCGCAAGACTTTCATGTAAAATATAATAGCGGATTGGAATTCTTCTTCTTTTTCTTCATCTTCTTCTCTCTCTTCTTCTTTTTCTTCTCCTTCATTTTCTTCTTCTTTTTCTTCTCCTTCTTTTCATCTTCTTCTTCATCATCTTCTCCTTCATTTTCTTCTTCTTCATTTTCATTTTCTTCATCTTCTTCATTTTTCTTCTTCATTTTTCTTCTTCTTCATTTTCTACATCTTCATCTTCTTCTTCCTCTTCTTCATTTTCTTTTCCTCTTCTTCTTATATTTCTTCATTTTCTTCTTCTTCATTTTCTTCTTCTTCACTTTCTCCTTCTTCTTCACTTTCTCCTTCTTCTTCTTCACTTTCTCCTTCTTCTTCTTCTTCATTTTCTTCTTCTTCATTTTCCTCTTCATTTTTTTCTTCTTCTTCACTTTCTCCTTCTTCTTCACTTTCTTCTTCCTCTTCTCCTTCACTTTTTCCTTCTTCTTCTACTTCACTTTCTCCTTCTTCTTCATTTTCTTTTTTTTTCTTCTTCTTTTTCTTCTTCTTGCAGGTCACGGCTCATGCGCAGATTTTTTTTATCGGTAAAACATTCGGCCGATTTGCCCATCATTGCCGGGAACTTGACCGATAATAAAAATGTGCCAAAACCTCAAAAAACGGGCCGACCAATTAACCCACTAACAGTGCGAAAATCCGCGTCCATGGCCTGCATTATGAGCCCTCTGCTGCACCAACTACCGGCTACATCTCTTAAAGGGCCAGCGCCCGTCATAACAATGGAGGGAAGGCTTCCCCACCATCCAGGACAATATATAGATTACTGTTGGATCAGAACAGCTTTCTTTCATCCTCGCTGGTGGCCGACCGCTAGTTTGGTGCACTCCTGATCCTCCCTGTACATTCCCCATAATATGAAAAAAATTCCAGCAGGGATGGTGGGACCCCCTCATTGACCTGGGAACGCCATGTAGGGGTCCTTTTGCCCGTTATGCCATACACCCACCCTTCCTACAGCAGGGGTGCAGATGTGGGGACTGTATGCAGGGATGGAGGGACACAGCAAGTATGATGACCTGAGAACCCCATGTAGAGCAGATGTTCAATGAACCAGCAAAAACAAATGCTCCTGCGCTTGGGGATGGACTCGATGCAGGCTGCAACCACATTAAGAATGTCCTGGAACATGCACACCTTGCTGCCCTCAAATGGACCGGGGGAATCCAAATATACTGAATGAGGAACATTGGCTCTGAGGAAGAGGCAAGTCCTCGAAACACGTCAGCCTATTGGATGTCTACATTCCCCATTACGGACTGTTACTCAGCGTGGTGTTGACCCAGCTGTTCTTTTATGATGTGCCTTGACTTTATTGTCATTTGTTGAGTACAACACATATTTTATTTCTTATTAAACATTTTTTTTATGGTAATGCACTAGGCCTGTGCGCCCTCTCTTTGTTCTTTCCTCATTCAGAGCAGATGTTCAGACCTATGAAACCACTGCAGGGATGGTGGGAACCCCTCATAATGGGCACAGCGGGTGTACAGACCCGGGAACTCGGCACAGGGATGGTGGGGACCCCTCATAATGGGCAAAACGGGTATACAGACCCGGGAACTCGGCACAGGGATGGTGGGAACCCCTCATAATGGGCACAGGGTGTTTACAGACCGGGAACTCAGCACAGGGATGGTGGGGACCCCTCATAATGGGCACAGCGGGTGTACAGACCCGGGAACTTGGCACAGGGATGGTGGGAACCCCTCATAATGGGCACAGCGGGTGTACAGACCTGGGAAGTCAGCACAGGGATGGTGGGGACCCCTCATAATGGGCACAGCGGGTGTACAGACCCGGGAACTTGGCACAGGGATGGTGGGAACCCCTCATAATGGGCACAGGGTGTTTACAGACCCGGGAACTCAGCACAAGGATGGTGGGGACCCCTCATAATGGGCATAGCGGGTGTACAGAGCCAGGAACTCATCACAGGGATGGTGGGAACCCCTCATAATGAGCACAGTGTGTAGACCTGGGAATTCCATTCGGAGATATAGAAGAGACTGTCAGATGGATTTTTTTGTCAGTGAAACATTTCCCGCACTGTGAATATGAATAGGGACACTCACCCGAGTGAAGTCTCTGGTGCTTTAGAAGTTCACCATTCTGACTAAAACATTTCCTGCACACCGAACCTGGAAAGGGTCATTCACCCATGTGAATTCTCTGATGTTTCACTAGGTCCTCTTTCCGAATAAAACTTTTCCCGCACTCTAAACATGAATGAGGACGCTCGCCTGTGTGAATTTTTTGGTGTGAAACGAGGTGCCCTTGTCTAATGAAACATTTCCCGCACTCTAAACATGAAAAGGGGCGCTCACCTGTGTGAGTTCTCTGGTGCGCAACAAGGTTTTCTCTGGTAATAAAACCTTTCCCGCACTCTGAGCATAAATAGGGACGCTCCCCGCTGTGAACTTTCTGGTGTTTCAGAAGATCGTGTTTCTGAATAAAACTTTTCCCGCAATCCGAACACGGAAAGGGACGTTCGCCTGTGTGAATTTTCTGATGTTTATGAAGGTTTCCTTTGTGATTGAAGAATTTCCCGCACTCCAAGCATGAGTAAGGATTCTCACCTGTGTGAATTTTTTGGTGTGAAACAAGCTGTCCTTTCGTAATGAAATGTTTCCCGCACTCTGAACATGAATAGGGACGTTCACCTGCGTGAATCTTTTGGTGTGAAACAAGGTTTTGTTTGGTGATGAAACATTTCTCGCACTGTGAACAGGAAAAGGGACGCTCGCCCGTGTGAATTTTCTGATGTAAAAGAAGGCTCACTTTGTGACTGAAATATTTCCGGCACTCTGAACATGAATAAGAACGCTCGCCTGTGTGAATTCGTTGATGTTTACGCAGGTAACCTTTGTCGCTGAAACATTTCCCGCACTCTAAACATGAAAAAGGACGTTCACCTGTGTGAATTCTTTCATGTAAAACAAGGTGTCCTTTTGTAATGAAGCTTTTCTCGCACTCTGAACATGAATAGGGACGCTCACCTGTGTGAATTCTAAAATGAGAAACAAGGCTTTCTTTCATAGTGAAACATTTCCCACACTCTGAACATGAATAGGGACGCTCACCGGTGTGAGTTCTCTGATGTATAAGAAGGCTTCCTTGATCACTGAAACATTTCCCGCACTCTGAACATGGAAAGGGACGTTCACCCGTGTGACTTCTATGATGTTTACTAAGTTCTCCTTTGTGAATGAAACATTTCCCGCACTCCGAACACGAATAAGGACGCTCACCTGTGTGACTCCTCTGGTGTATAACAAGTTGTCCATTTGTAACAAAACATTTCCCGCACTCTGAACAGGAATAAGGTCGTTCTCCTGTGTGAGTTCTCTGGTGTGTAACAAGGTGACTTTTTATTACAAAACATTTCCCGCAATCTGAACATGAATAGGGACGCTCGCCTGTGTGATATCTCTGATGTGTATCAACTTGTCCTTTCGTACTGAAACGTTTCCCGCACTCTGAACATGCATAGGGACGCTCACCCGTGTGAATTCTCTCGTGTATAAGAAGTAATGAATTTTTTGTAAAAGATTTCCCACACACTGAACAGGACAACGAACGCTTTTCTTTATAGATTCTAGAAGATTCATTGGAAGTAGATGGATCTATTAGAGTGTCTGTATTGTGAGATCCCAGAGTCGTGGTGTGTGATCCGTCCGAGGGATCCACTGATCTCCCCAAATGGTAAGTTCTCCCATGTATATTGTTATTCACTGCATTATATCCTGGAGGTAACATGAGATGATCCTCAGAGGTCTCCCGGACATAGTGTCCACCTGCGCGGAGAGAAAGAATTACAGTCAATGTTATGAGTATTGTACAATCCCGACATTCACAAACACGCCGAATATACCAGTCTGCCTCCAAATATTTGTTGGGAACATGACGTTATATTAAGGAATGGAGATGGACCTTTCATATGGTGTCCAGTATCTCCTCATTTGTTGGGAACATGACGTTATATTGAGGAATGGAGATGGACCTTTCATGTGGTGTCCAGTATCTCCTCATTTGTTGGGAACATGACGTTATATTGAGGAATGGAGATGGACCTTCATATGGTGTCCAGTATCTCCTCCTCATTTGTTGGGAACATGACGTTATATTGAGGAATGGAGATGGACCTTCATATGGTGTCCAGTATCTCCTCCTCATTTGTTGGGAACATGACGTTATATTGAGGAATGGAGATGGACCTTTCATATGGTGTCCAGTATCTCCTCCTCATTTGTTGGGAACATGACGTTATATTGAGGAATGGAGATGGACCTTTCATATGGTGTCCAGTATCTCCTCCTCATTTGTTGGGAACGTGACGTTATATTGAGGAATGGAGATGGACCTTTCATATGGTGTACAGTATCTCCTCATTTGTTGGGAACATGATGTTATATTGAGGAATGGAGATGGACCTTCCATATGGTGTCCAGTATCTCCTCCTCATTTGTTGGCAACATGACGTTATATTGAGGAATGGAGATGGACCTTCCATATGGTGTCCAGTATCTCCTCATTTGTCGGGAACATGACGTTATATTGAGGAATGGAGATGGACCTTTCATATGGTGTCCAGTATCTCCTCCTCATTTGTTGGGAACGTGACGTTATATTGAGGAATGGAGATGGACCTTTCATTTGGTGTCCAGTATCTCCTCCTCATTTGTTGGGAACATGACGTTATATTGAGGAATGGAGATGGACCTTCCATATGGTGTCCAGTATCTCCTCCTCATTTGTTGGGAACGTGAAGTTATATTGAGGAATGGAGATGGACCTTTCATATGGTGTCCAGTATCTCCTCATTTGTTGGGAACATGACATTATATTGAGGAATGGAGATGGACCTTCCATATGGTGTCCAGTATCTCCTCCTCATTTGTTGGGAACGTGACAGTTATATTGAGGAATGGAGATGGACCTTTCATATGGTGTCCAGTATCTCCTCATTTGTTGGGAACATGACGTTATATTGAGGAATGGAGATGGACCTTTCATATGGTGTCCAGTATCTCTCCTCATTTGTTGGGAACATGACGTTATATTGAGGAATGGAGATGGACCTTCCATATGGTGTCCAGTATCTTCTCCTCATTTGTTGGGAACATGACGTTATATTGAGGAATGGAGATGGACCTTTCATATGGTGTCCAGTATCTCCTCATTTGTTGGGAACATGACGTGTGCACCGGATGAACTTTTCCAGTGAAAGTGCTACTTTGTCACTAGTCAAGATCCTTTGTTATGACTGCATTACCTGAGCACTGATGAGCTGTGATATACAAATGCATACAGTTAAAATGAAATTGTGAATGTTTTTTGCATTACGTGTTTATTACTTACGTAGGTCTATATACAAAGAAGATTCTTCCTGTTTACTTTTCACAGTCATCTCCCCCTCCTCCATAGATGGTTGATCTCCACTCACCAACATCTCTTCTGCTTCCTCTTTAACTTCAGCTTTGATTTCTTTCAGTTCTTCACCCTAAACTCCAAAGATGATAGGATAGATTTCTGTAAGAGATTACATAGAAGAATGTCCTCTCATGGCTTTGAATACATTTTTTAGATCTATATGCCGAGTACTACCTACCTGCTGATGGTGAGGGATGGTGTGACCTTCCTGTGTGGAATCCCGGGAATACAGAGTACGGGGACATCTCTCTGGTGGGTTCCCATAACTGGATCCATCTACCTGATGATGGTGAGGGACGGTGTGATCTTCCTGTGTGGAATCCCGGGAATACAGAGGACGGGGACATCTCTCTGGTGGGTTCCCATGACTGGATCCATCTGTAGGAAACACACACACTGACTGAATCCATTGTTTCTATGTGTTTATCAGATGATGGGGGATCTAGGTGGACCCTCCGTACTGCTCTCTCCTTTACAATAAAGTCTCCTCTTACCTGGTGATGTGAGGGGCGGCTGATTGTCCATCATGACGTCCTTGTAGAGATCCTTGTGTCCTTCTAAATACTCCCACTCCTCCATGGAGAAATAGACAGTGACATCCTGACACCTTATAGGAACCTGACACACACAATGATACAGTCACCATCCAGACACATCCCTTGTCTGTTACTGGAGAATGTCCCAGAATTCCCGGCACCGCTCACCTCTCCTGTCAGCAGATCAATAATCTTCTGGTTGACTTCTAGAATCTTCTTTACATAGTTAACCTTTATTTTATAATCCTGTGTAAAGAGAGAAAGTAACAGTTCTCACTGCTGACCTCCCAGAATCCTCCTCCTAATATATACAGTGGGGATCGAAAGTTTGGGCACCCCAGTTAAAAATTTGTATTAATGTGCATAAAGAAGCCAAGGAAAGATGGAAAAATCTCCAAAAGGCATCATATTACAGATTAGACATTCTTATAATATGTCAACAAAAGTTAGATTTTATTTCCATATTTACACTTTCAAAATAACAGAAAAAATCTCCAAAGAAAAAAAAAATGGCGTCTGCAAAAGTTTGGGCACCCTGCAGAATTTATAGCATGCACTGCCCCCTTTGCAAAGCTGAGACCTGCCAGTGTCATGGATTGTTCTCAATCATCATCTGGGAAGACCAGGTGATGTCAATCTCAAAGGTTTTAAATGCCCAGACTTATCTGACCTTGCCCCAACAATCAGCACCATGGGTTCTTCTAAGCAGTTGTCTAGAAAACTGAAACTGAAAATAGTTGACGCTCACAAAGCTGGAGAAGGCTATAGGAAGATAGCAAAGCGTTTTCAGATGTCAATATCCTCTGTTCGGAATGTAATTAAGAAATGGCAGTCATCAGGAACAGTGGAAATTAAAGCAAGATCTGGAAGACCAAGAAAAATATCAGACAGAACAGCTCGCAGGATTGTGAGAAAAACAATTCAAAACCCACGTTTGACTGCACGATCCCTCCAGAAAGATCTGGCAGACACTGGAGTTGTGGTACACTATTCCACTATAAAGAGATACTTGTACAAATATGGTCTTCATGGAAGAGTCATCAGAAGAAAACCTCTTCTACGTCCTCACCACAAAAATCATCGTTTAAACTTTGCAAATGAACATATAGACAAGCCTGATGCATTTTGGAAACAAGTTCTGTGGAACGATGAGGTTAAAATTGAACTTTTTGGCCGGAATGAGCAAAGGTACGTTTGGAGAAGAAGGGGCACAGATTTTAATGAAAAGAACCTCTGTCCAACTGTTAAGCATGGGGTTGGATCAATCATGCTTTGGGGTTGTGTTGCAGCCAGTGGCACAGGGAACATCTCACGAGTAGAAGGAAAAATGGATTCAATAAAATTTCAGCAAATTTTGGATGGTAACTTGATGCCATCTGTGAAAAAGCTGAAGTTAAAGAGAGGATGGCTTCTACAAATGGATAATGATCCTAAACACACCTCGAAATCCACGGGGGATTACATCAAGAGGCGTAAACTGAAGGTTTTGCCATGGCCTTCACAATCTCCTGACCTCAACATAATTGAAAATCTATGGATAGACATTCAAAGAGCAGTGTGTGACAGACAGCCCAGAAATCTCAAAGAACTGGAAGACTTTTGTAAGGAAGAATGGGCAAAGATACCTCAAACAAGAATTGAAAGACTCTTGGCTGGCTACAAAAAGTGTTTACAAGCTGTGATACTTGCCAAAGGGGGCAGTACAAGATATTAACTCTGCAGGATGCCCAAACTTTTGCAGACGCCATTTTTTTGTTTTCTGTTATTTTGAAAGTGTAAATGATGGAAATAAAATCTAACTTTTGTTGACATATTATAAGAATGTCTAATCTGTAATTTGATGCCTTTTGGAGATTTTTTCCATCTTTCCTTGGCTTCTTTATGCACATTAATACAAATTTTTAGCTGGGGTGCCCAAACTTTTGATTCCCACTGTACCTACCCAAACACCCGGCTGCTATAGGGTCCAGGAGTTTGTTTACATGTCAGTGCAAGTGTAATTTTTTTTTTTTTTTTGCTTTGGCACATGTTCCCTAAAGCAATGTCAAGGCCCCTGTGCCATTTGTTTGACAGCCCCAGGTCTATTAACCAGGAACATGGCATTAAATGTGTTTAACGTTTGGCCCCATTGACTTCAATGGGGTTCAAATTTGACAGAGAAGGCATGGTGTCCAATATCTCACAAAATCCGGTCTATAAACCAGAGGGTCTGGATGGACGGTTGGATAAATGGTTCTATATTTAGGATGTATCCGGTCTATAAACCAGAGGCTCCGGATGGACGGTTGGATAAATGGTTCTATATTTAGGATGTATCCGGTCTATAAACCAGAGGCTAAACCAGAGGCCGGATGGACGGTTGGATAAATGGTTCTATATTTAGGATGTATTGCAACACCCACCAATTTATTCTTTAGGGTCTCTGCTTTAAAAAAAAAAAAAATAATAAT